GAACCAGGCCTGTCTTCACCTAGGCAGCTTCTCTCTAGCGCACTCCGGGCAGGTCTCCTACACTCTAGTGCCACCTGCACCGGGGAAACACAGAGTTCAACCTTCGGTGGCAAGCGCGCTGTTGAAACCACAGGGGAGTTGGCTTATATAGACAGAAGTATTTGCCCCTGGATCCTCATTGGTCAGTATAGAGCCCTCTGATTGGTCAGAGCTGTGGAACTGCAATTGGATGGGGAAAGCCTCAGTCCTACTGGCTGAAATAGTACTCCAGGAGCTATTGACTGGGAACCAAACCTGCAACCTAGGTACGTGCCCTGACCAGGAATTGGACCCACATTTTGGTGCACAGGATGATGCTCCAACTAATTGATCCACCCGGCCAGGACATTTAAAATTTATTTATTGATTGATTTGAGAGAGAGAGTGAGAGAGCGAGTGCAAGCAACATTGATTTATTCTTCCACTTGGCTAGGGTGAGTCTACATATTTTCGAAACCATCAAGCCATGGCTTTCTTTTGTTTAATAGTCCTTCCTTTAGCTTCTCTCTCTCCTTTCATAATTTACTACAGGTGGCCCCTTCCGTACTCTACTTGGAAATCTCCTTAGCTAGATCACCCAATTCATCAGGTACATTTTCTACTTTTCACTTTACTGCAGGCAATAGTGTTGCCAAATTTCTGCCAATACATAACAAGAACTCCCTTTCTTCCAGTGTCCAATAAGATTTTTGTGATTCTCCATTAAGCCCTCACTTGAAGCTTCCTGAAAGGTCATCAGGACTCTTATCTTTTGAAAGGTTCAAGCTTTCACTATTGCTCACCTCAAAGTCCTTCCAGCTGCAGCCCACTGCTCAGTTCCAGAGTCGCATGTTTAGGCTTTTGTTATGATAGCACTTTTGGATACCACAATCTGTATGTTTTTCTGCATAACAAATCACACCCACAACATAATGGCTTAAAACAAAAAACATTCATTACTTCTCAAGAATTCTGAGGGTCAGGAATTTGGGAGCATCTCAGCTGGTTGGTTCTGGCTTGGGCTTTCTCATGAGGTTTCAGACAAGTTTTTTGCTGTGCTGCAGTCAGCTGAAGGCTTGTCTGGGGCTGGAATATATATTCCAAACTAGCTCACTTGCTCACTCACATGGATGTTGGCAGAAAACCTTATTTTATTTCCACAGATTATCTCCCAGAAAAACCGATCTAAGACAGAGAAAGAATAAGCAGGAAGCTGCTTTACTTTTTATCACCAAGACTCTGAAATCACACTATTCATTTCTGCTTTATTCTAGTCTTTAAAAGCAAGTCACGCTAAGTCCAACTCACACTCATTAGAATCAACTTCTTGAAGGAAACAGGGTCAAAGAATATGTAGGCATTTAAAAAAACCCTTCAACTATCCATGGTTTTCTCTTTGCTTTCCAGTTTCAATGGGGACAATGAAGTTATCACTTTTCCTATCCAAAGTCTGCTCTTCTATTTGAGATTTTGATCTCCTCCCTGAATTTATAGAAATTTAACCACTGTTGTCCTGGCCAGGTGGCTCAATTGATTGGAGCATTGTCCCATACACCAAAAGGTTGTAGGTTCAATTCCTGGTCAGGGCACATACCTAGGTCGTGAGTTTGATCCCTGATCAGGGCATGTACAGAAGGAAACCGATTAATGTTTCTCTCTCTCCTTCCTCTCTCTCTCTAAAATCAATACCAATATCCTCAGGTAAGGATTAAAAAAAGTCAGCCTTATTATTTCTCCTGTATATTCAATATCTCCTTCTCGTCTTTATGCTTTCTCTCAGCATTTAAACATTTTTAAGTCTTTTACCCATATCCCTTTCTAGCTAATACCCTCTTTGCCTGTAGTAGTTTTTAAACATGACTCAAACTTCTCTGACATTCTTCCCATTAAGAGAGAGCAGCTATGTGCCCTTCTGCTTGAATCTTGGTAGGCTTGTGATTACACAGTAGAATATGGCAAGCGAGGCAATGCAACTTCTGTAGATGGGTATAAAAGATCACGCAGCTCCGTCCCAGTTCTCTAGGAATACCACCTCTTGGGGACACTCCCTCTTAGAACCCAGCCACCATGCTGCAAGAGCCCAAGCCACATGGAGAGGCCATGTGTAGGTGTACCAGGTGACAACCACAGCCAAACCCAATTTTTAAAAAATTAATTATTTCAAAAGCCAAATTTTTAAAAATTTTTTAAAATTTATCAATGAGAGAGAGAGAGAGAATGAGAGAGAGAGAGATAGTCCTGTTGCTCCTATATGTGCTCAGACCGGGGATGGAACCTGCAACCCTAGTGTATGGGGATGATGTTCCAGCCAACTGATCTACCTGGCCAGGGCACTAAGCCCATTTTTCAAGTGACTGTACCTGATCTGTGAGTGAAGAAGCCTCCAGATGATTCCAATTCCTAGCAGTTTGAGTTACCTGCCAGCAATTTGAGTCTCCTCAGCTGAGACTCCAGACACTGTGAAACAGAGAGAAGTCATCCCTGCTGTGATTTGTCAAATCCTTGATCCTTGGAATCCATGAACATAATAAAACAGTTCTTGTTTTATGCCACTACGATTGGGTTAGTTTGTTACATGGCAATAGTAACGTGAACATCCCGTTTACAACCAATTCTCTCAAAAGAGTTGTGAATTCTCATCTTTCTTCATCCCCTACTTATTCCTCTAATCTGAATTTTGCTCCCATCTTTCAAGCTTAATAATGGTCTCTGAAGTTAATGATCTCCAAGTTGCTAAATCTGATAGACATTTTTCTAACACTATTTAACACTAATACTTAACTCTATTGTCCAATTCTTCCATCTTGAATACTCTCTTCTAGTTTCTAAAGCACCATACTATCCCAGGTCTCTTCCTTCGTCTCTAGTTACCTCTCAGCCTTGTTTCCAATTTCACCTTCCTCTTCCCAGCCACTAGATGATGAAGTTGCTTGAGCTTGGTTCTAAGCTTTCTTCTCACTTTATATTCTATCCATTTCCCTGATTTTAATTCTCACCTATACAACATTGATGTCATTTTATCTCAAATAATTTTACCTATTAAGCTCCATGCCACAAGATCAGATGCCTTCTTAACATTTTGTACCATTCAGCGTTCTTAGGTGAGCAGAGACTGGCCTTGGCTGAAAGTATTAAAAATTCACAGAATCACAGGAAGGGCAGAGCACCGGGGGTAGAGCCCACGGTAAACAGGCAGGAGCAATAGCCAAGTCATGCCACAAAACTGGCCTCGTGAGGATACCAACACTGCTCTCAGCAAACAGAGACATGGCAGCTGTCACTAGCAACAGCATTGCCACTGTGGCCATTGGAGATATTATCTTGGTGCAACTGTCAACACTGCCAGAAAAGATTCTTTGAGGTTCTTGCTTTTTGGTGCCACAGCTCCCTTTTCAAAGTTGCTGGTGGGCACACCTGGTCCTCACATGTAGACTTTGACCATGTCCTAACTGTGAGAGATTCTGGGAAAGCAAGCTGTTGGCATTTCCAGGTTCTTTGCAGAAGGCAGATTGTACCTCCAACCAGTTAAGTATAATGTAAGAAATTCTCCAAATATGTAAATGAGTTTCAGAAGCTAAGACTGGGAAGCTGAGGAAAAAAACAAACAAACTTCCATTACCTCTTCCTTTCAACAAAGAGCTTATCAGTGATCCATTGTGCTCTCTTGAGGAACAAGGTTGTAGAACTCTGTTGTATGTTTTAATTAACAAAGGGTAAAATAAAGTCTTCTGCTATAAAAACGGATGGCCTTCCCTTGAGAATTCTCATGGGGATGTAGCAGAGTAGCCTAGGACATCCAACACTCCTGATCCTCATACCTAGTGATTTTCAAACACATTTCCTTTCACCTTTCTCATTTTCTTTCCCTTTTTTGTTTCATTTGTTGTTTCCTTTCTTTTTTTTCCATTTGCCTTTCTGAATATGAGGAAATGTGACTACCTAGCAAAACACCCTTAGAATAATGCAGAAGTGACATTAAGAGATAGTTGTGAATATTTTGTATCCTTCTCATATAGTATGACCCTCAAAATATATAACTAATTGTTAGTGAAACCAAAGGAATAAACTTTGCCCAATAGGACTCTATATATGACACAGGACAGGAATCTATAAAATAGAAAAACAAAATTTTTAAAAAATTAGTGTTTTTTTTCACTTACTTTACCTGAGAGTCCTTTTCAGTATCTTACCCTCATTATAAGGAACTAGAAAACTACCTTGGTTTATAGAATTAATGTTTCTGTAGTAACAGTGAAAATTCAGTGATTTAAGAATTTAGCAAATATATAACCTGTTTGTACTCCAAATATTAGGGACATACATATGTCAGAAGACAGGCTTGATATACAATACATTTTTGTATTTGAAAACACAAAACCTACTATTTTTACTGGTTTTCTATTTTCTCTGAACTTAACCAAGAATTATTTTCTCTTATCTCAGCCTCTCTGGGTTTTCCTTTGAATAAAATGCTTGTGACCTGTAGAGATTTAGAAAAGGTTTTCCCCGACTAAAATAAGTTCTTCGAAAAAGAGAAGAATTCTGTGGAAATCTCTTGCATTTGAAGTTGCTAAACTTAAGTACAATACTGTCACATGTACTTATACAGTAATTGTGGACACGCCTAAGTCCCTCCCTCTTTCCTAAACCAAATTCCCCAGATCCTAGAAATCCAGCCCTTCTGCCCTCCGGAGGCGCCTTTCCCAACGTAAAGTACAATTTTCAATTTCAGCTCCTGACTCCAAAATGGTTCTGTAGCCAACTGCTAGGGAATCTGGGCACCCCCGCGCCTCTGGAGGGTGCAGCGGGGTGTAGGCAAGGGCAGGGGGAGTGGGCGAAGCCGCTGGTTGGTGCCTCAAATCTGTGCGTTGCCCCTTTAATTGTGTCCTCAGCCCTCGGGCGTTTCTGTCCAACGCCCACGTCAGCAAATACCTTTTGTTTCTCTCACGTTGGGGCTACTTGTTTTAGGGCGCAAAGGACCGGCTGGGAAAAGGGGTATTTCCCCTGCGGAGGACCAGGAATCTGCCCCCAAGCCTGCGCGCGCGACCCGCCGGTGCGCCGCGGCCCGCGGTAAGAGGCTGCGGGCGGCGCGGGCGGAGGGCGGGTGGGGCGTCGGGGCTGCCGGGACCCGCGGGACCGGCTAGCGAGCCTCGCTACGGGCGGAGGCACGGGCGATGCGCGGGCGGCAGCGCCGCGGGCTCTGACCACCCGGGCGGCGGCGGCGGGATGCGGCCCGGGGTGCGGTGCCCCATACGTCCCCGGCCGGGCGAGCGGCGGGAGGCGCTGAGGCGAGCGGGCGCCATTTGCAGCCCCGGGCTCAGTGGCGGCGGCGCGCCGGCTCCGCGGGGCTGGAGACGGTCACAAAGGCGGCGCGGGCAGCCGGCGGCGGAGGACGCGGCCTCGGGGCGGTGGCCCGCGGGGAGAGGCAGGCGGCGCCGGGGCGCACGGGTTCCCGAACCCCGCGCCCGCCTGACCGCGCCGCCCCGCCTGGCCAGCGGGCCAACCGGCCAGCCCATCCTGCGCGCCCGGGAGGGGTTGCGGGACAATGGCCGCGCCGTCGCCGCCTGCGCCCGCCTAGTCGCCCCCGTGGAGCGCCGCGCCCGCTTCGCCTCCCGGCCCGGCGGCGGCGCGGGGAAAGGCGGGAAGGCGCGCGGAGCCTCCTGGCGGCGGCAGAAAGGCGGCGCGGGGACGGTGGCGGGCGTGTCTGGAGCCGTCGGGCGCCGCGGACTCCCGGAGGGTCGGCAGGCGGCCGGGCTTGCGCTGCTTCGCGAGTGACGGCCGGGCCAACGGGGCGGCGGGGGGCCGGGGCGCCTTCCCCGCGGCCGCGGGCACTTGCCTCCGCGGGAAGGTGGCATGCGGGGCGGTAGTCCCAGTTTTTCCGTACATCCTCCATGCTTTAGTTTTCATATTATGCGAGAGATCCAGGCTTGGAACGGAATGCACCTCACAAATATTGAGCTATGATTATTGTTTTATGACGGAACCACACGTGTGCACCTTCTACTGCCACTTTTGTAAGTGAGCTGTTTAGCTCCTTTCCATTAAAATGCGCTTATATCGTTGATTGTGCCAGTAGCCAGACTCCACATCTTTCAAAAACTGGAGTTTAAAAAAAATGAGATAATTGACATGTAGCATTGTAATAGTTACAATGTTATATGTTATGTTGTGTTTGGAAGCGATAAATTGTTACTTCTATTCTTAATAAACGTTTATATTTGCTGAACTTTATATAGTAAATTAAATGCTTTCACTTACTGAATCCTTTCACGTTCACGTAAAACCACCATACAGTCAGGCCGATGGTTATTCCACTTTCCAGGTGAGGAAATGAGTTAAACGCGGAGCTTCACCTCTAAGCCAGGAGGTGAACGATGGCAGTGTCCCAGCGCCTTTGCCTCCTGGTCTTGCTCTCCATTTCCTCCTCAAGTCACCTCCAGAGTCTTCCAGAAAGCAAATTAGTCACATCGGTCTCCAGGTCTACAAACCTGAACTGATCCTATCAGAAAAAAGTTCAAAGCCTCAGCGGAAAAATCAAGTGCCAAATTTTCTCTCCAGTCTAATCTCCGAACCTCTCTTATGGGTGGGTTTGTGGGACCCCAGGAGCAAGAACTCTTCGCTGATAACCAGGGATCTCGAATATCTTTATTCCTGGGAATTGACCTGGCCTCACAAGGGGTAAATGGGAAGTGACAATCTCATCTGCCACCCTTGGCCAAATGGGCACATATAGGTTAGGCTATGTCAGTAGAAGGCATCATGAACCCCTGGGCTCCTTCTATGTCATGTAAATTTCAGGTGCCAGGAAACAGGGCACCCTGTCAGATCTTATCTCCTGAACTTGAAATCACCAGCCTTTCTGTTGATAGTGATTTGGGCCCAGAAAAAAAAACTTGGGAAGATAACACTAAATTCATTTTATATAATTTAAATTGTATTTTCTAGATACAGAATTTTTCTCTAATAGACATAACTCTTTCAGTGACACATACATGTGTATAATAAAAAATTCGATATAAGTTTATTTGATTCCCCTTGAGGGAAGTTTTTGTCACTTTTTTGCTCAAAATTGGTCAGTGACTCCTTATTTCCCTCAGATTAAAAGTCAAAGCCCCCCCCGTGGGCTACCAGATCCTCTAGGAACTGATCTCAAGATGTCCTACCTGCCTCACATCTGCTTTTTCCTTTCTTCCTTTTTTTTAAAAAAAAATAATTATTTTTAGAGCGAGGGGAAAGGAGGGAGAAAGAGAGGGAGAGAAACACCTTTGTGGACCTGGCCCAAAATCCAGGTATGTGCCCTGACTGGCAATGGAACTGGGACCTTTCGGTTTGTAGAACTGTGCCCGATCCACTGAGCTACACCAGTCGGGGCTGGCATGCCTTTTCCCGACCCCATCCCTCATTGCTCTCCCCAGCCCTCTTTGCCCGCCCCTGCTCCGAGCCTCTGCAGGCACTCTTCCATCTACATGGAAGACTTTTCCACCCAGATACCTACATGACTGTCACTGCTTTTGGACTTGACTTAAATGCCATTTTCTCAGTGGGACTTTCCCATCTATGGTTTTGATTTTCTTAAATGTTTTTATACTTCTCAGTCTTTGCAGTTAAAAGATGTTTACCCACCAAAGAATATAATTACCATGTCGGTTGGCTGAATTTCCTTATGACCCCGGGATTTTTGCTAAGGAGGCTAATGAGATTTATTTCGGTGACTCTGATGGTGCACACTAAATTCTAGATTAATGACTATGTATCTTAAAAAAGAGTCTCCTAGACCACCAGTTTAATTCAAGTTACACTCATTTCCTAACTCTTCAGTTTACTCATAGAAATACATATATTTCCCTTCTGTTCCAAAGACCTTTGAACTTAATGGTTCCCGAAATATGCAGTTGTTTTTTCGATCCATCTTTTTAAAGATCTTTGAACTTAGTGGGAATCTTGAATTTTTTAATATTCTTAGGACTATTATAGATATTTAAGTCTCATAGATATTTAAAAATGTTTCTCATTGAATTTTGGATGTCTTGCATGAATTAGTATAACTTGTTTCAACTTTTATTGTCAATCTACTGAAGTAAGAAAAAACGTATTACTCATTTCCATGATTTAGTCACATCTTGAAAATAAACCTTTTAAAAAATTTTTTAAAAAAGAATTTGTTTATTTTTAGACAAAGGGGAAGGGAGGGAGAAAGAGAGGGAGAGAAACATGAATGTGTTATTGCCTCTCAGTGTGCCCACACTGGGGACCTGGCCCGCAACCCAGACATGTATGTACCCTGACTGGGAATCTAACTGGCGACCCTTTGGTTCACAGGCCAGCGCTCAATCTACTGAGCTGCACCAGCTAGGGCAAAAAGTAAACCTTTTTTGATGACTTAAGAGTACTGTTATGAATGCAAATTGTGTTAATGCCCTATAGAAGTAAGTGTTATCAAGTTATAACTGACCCCAATTTATAGAACAATTCCTATTTTCTTGGAAAACTTCCTGTTTTGCTCCTTTCTTTGTCTCCATTGCCTTAGCTCAGTTCCTCACCAGTTCTTGCTTTGACCTTTGCATTTAGCCTTTAAATTAGTCTTCCTGGCTCTGCCTCTCCCACCATTTCTCTTCCTCCATGCCGTCTCAGTTTTTCTTCTGGGTATACAAATTGGGTCATCATAACAGTAATACCTGTTTTTTATTGAGCCTTAGCTGCATGCCATGTATAGTGCTAGGTATTTGCACACACTGTGGTCAGAAGAACGCAAGACTTAAGAGTGTCAGTTTGAGGTCAGTTGGCTTGAATTCCAGTCTCTGGTCACTTGCTCCTTGTGCAGTCTTGGACATTTTCTTCTGATTTCTCTGTGCCTTAGGTTTTGTTGTTGTTGTTGTTGTTTTGTTTTGTTTTTATCTATACAATGTGGATCACAGCAGCAGAAAATGAATGTAAAATGTTTAACACAGTGCCCAATAAACATTCAAATTCTGTATCAAAAAAGAGGTTTGCTAGAAAGTAATCTCACAGCGTTATTTGATCATAAATTCCTAAATGGGCAGGTTATGGCAGGTAGTCACACCCCAGGCATATAACTTCTTTAGTAAAAGGCTTATCTTTTTTTTTTTTTTTTTTTTAAGGCTTTTTACTGCCTTAGGCAAGCCTTGACCATTGTTTTTGTGCATCTCGGTTATGCCCCTTTGAAATACCTTTTCTCAGACCCCTCCTTCTAAAAGGGTGACCACCCTGAAAAGAACAAAGAATTTTAACTATCCTGTAATCCCATCCCTGCCTTGCTTTCTCCCAGCATCATATAACCTTCCTTAGAGTTGGCAGGGAAACAGCACCAGAATGTTAGCAGCACTAGATGTCTGGCTAAGAAAGAATTTGCAACCTTGGCACTTGAGTTCTGGCTAAGAAAAAACTCAGAGGAAAGACCCAACAAAAGTAAAAGTTTATTTAGAAAGTCACAGAGATAGAAATGAGCCATAGGAGAAATGGGCTCCGAAAAGGAGAGAGGGAGAGGGAGAGGAGGGAGAAGAGGGAGAGGAGGGAGCGGGAGAGGGAAGAGGGAGAGGGAGATACCCTGTGGGAGGATCTCAGTGGAATAGTTATCAGCTCCCCAGCTGTGTCACCTCAGGGTTGCGGTTTCCACTGATTTGTCTGTGCCAAGTGCTAGGGAAGGGGGTCATTAGTCATTGCATCTGCTCCTGATGTCCACCATGGTGTTGCTCCACTGCTCTGCTCTGGTTTTGCTGCTTTCCTGGAGCCGGAGCTGAAGCACAACTGAGCTGGGGGTGTCCAACATTTTGGTGTCTCTGGGTCCCACTGGAAGAAGAAGAGTTGCCTTGGGCCACACATTAAATACATTGTGACATGTAATCACACACACACACACACACACACACACACACACACACACACACAAAATCTCATAATGTTTTAAGTAAATGTACGATTTTGTGTTGGGCTGCATTCACAGCCATCCTGGGCTGCATGCGGCCTGTAGGCTGCAGGTTGGACACCCCTGGAACTTATTTCTAAGGGCTTAGTCCTTAAGGGAGTGGTTGTGCAAGGGCTTGTATGGGGTT